CATGGTTCCCATTCAGGAACCAGGAATGGGTTTCACTATTGCTATTTCTCAGAACTAATAATATGCTCTTCCATGAGCAGGGTGGGGCCCACGCCCCATTCTTTCTCCCAAGAGGACTTGGCAATTCCATGATGCATTGATCAGAGGTTTCCAGGGCTCAGGCCACTTAATGCAGAACAAATAACTGTGCAAGTATGGAGGCTGGGAGTTATTCTCACCCAAATGTTCTGCTGACCTCAGCACGTGGACAGGCCATTACACCACGCACAGGGGCCATTTCACAGGGAGGAAGAAGAAGGGTGGGGATTTCTACAAATGTGCAGGGCGATGCTTGTTAGGTCTCCACCTCCTGGGGTCTCTTCCACTTGAGCCATTGCTCTCTATTTGTCCTACAGTATGCCCCAGGGCCCCTTAGTCTCCTTCAGGCTCTGAGGCTTTTCAAGTGTGGACACGATTCAGTCATCTTTTGCTAATTGCAGAATTCTAAAAATTCTAACAAGTTTTTAGAAAAGCCACGGTAAGATTTCATCACTGGTTACCTGGTGCTGGAGGGGGATGACTCCCCTTGGTCTAGATTCCTTGAGCCTGGGGACTGACCCACAAAGTGGCTATAACAAATCGGTGCCCAGGGACACCCCGTTTTGTTCGCAGTGGTAGTTATCTGTACAGGTCTGCAGCAACCTCAATTCTTGCCTCCCCAGAAAAAAGAATTCAACTGAGGGGCGAAAGAACAGAAGGAGAGACCGAGGTAAGTTTTAGAGCAGGAGAGAAAGTTTACTAAAAAGCTTTAGTGCAGTAAGGAAAGGAAGGAAAGTACTCTTGGAAGAGGGCCAAACAGGCGACTTGAGACCAAATGCGTGGCTTGACCTCGTGACTTGGGGTTTTATACGTTGGCATACTTCCGGGATCTTGCATTATTTCTCCTGACTCCTGAGAGCTTATTGGGAAGCTGCTGATCACCAGTTCCAGGTGTTTTCTATCAACTAGGAGACTGCCTATTGCTGGTGCTGGCTGTGACCAATTATTACTTTAGAAAGACAGTTAACAACAGCCTGATGGTCACCAAACACTCCTGATGTGTGTGTGGAGAGTCTTCTGCCGTACTCATACCCGGCTAGCCACCTACTGTAACACCTTGATCTCCGCTTCTGATCTCCACTCAAACATGAGCACCAATAAAGCCAATTCAAGTCAATTTCTTGAGCATCTTCTATGGATTTGCTATGGACACAGAGACTAAGGATCCCATAATTGGATGGGAGATGGAAGGATCTAATGCATGACCCCACTGTGAAAAGCGCTTCAGGAGGAAGTCCAATGAGATGATGCCATGTGCTGCAGGGGACCAGGTGACAGGGAGTACAGCCCCTGGGAGTGCATGTGTGACCATCCTGGGCTCAAGTCCTCGGCCAACTATAAAGTGGTGTGACCTTGAGCAAGTTACTTCTAAGTGTCTCATTTTCCTCTTCCAAAGGCTCAAGGCAGAGATACTGAGAGGGTCATGTAAGGATCAAAGATAAGAGTATCAAGTGCTGGCATGTGTTTGGCTTTCTATAAATATGACTCACAAATGACTACAGTTGTGTGACTCTGAATGACTCACCTCAATCTCCGGTCCTATTTCCTCATCTGTAAAATGTGAGAGTTACAAGCTCACGGCGCTAGTCCAAATCTCAGGTGTGTACAGAGCAGCAGGTCTTTTGTCTTTTGTAAATCAATTGAATTTCCGCAGTGTGCCCCCATCTTCCAAGAGCACAGAAAGGGGTGGCGGAGTCTGGCATCCAGGGCCATCGTCCAGGAGAGTTTGTTGCTGAGTCAGGCTGGTGGTGCATCCCTCCCTTCCTCCCCCACTGACCCTCCTGCCTATCCCTGCCTTCCTCCCCAAGGTTGAGAGGAAAATAAATCTTGGTCACTTTTGTCAATGCCCCATTGTTGTGTTTTGATCCAGGTGACTCTCCAGCATGCCAGGTCTTTGTTGTCCCTGCCCCAGCCCCCGTTGTTTCCATGCCCTGTCTGGGCCAACCCAATCTTCTGGAAACTGCCTTAGTCATACTGCCCCAGACAGGCCACACAGCTGCTCTTCTCTGGGCTTTCCACTTCCCTGGGCTACCACCATGGAGCAGGGCTCAAGGCCCTGCCACTCAAGACCTGCCTGTCTCTCTTGCTTCTTCCTTCTGCATCCTCCAAGGAGCCTTGGGTTCTCACATGGGCTTAGGTTTCAGGCAACAGTGCCCTGAAAACCCTGCAGGTGACTTCTGCTCTCTGCTCTGCACACACCTTTTGTGAGGCAAAGAAAGGCAGAGCAGGCTTTTCCTTTCATGAGATAAAGAGAAAGCAGAAAACAGACTTTCTACATAAGGAAGACTCTCAGAATATTATTCAGCCCACTAAAAATCTATAATATTTATGGTATATTTACTTAGTGTCAGACACTATGCATTTACTCCTTTAAAAAGCTCCATTTCACAGATGAGCAAACAGAAGTTTAGAATGCTTAACTACGTTTCCAAGTCACCCAGCTAATAAAAAGTGGAGCTGGAATATAAACTTGGGTCTCTTTGACTCTTCTTAATTCTATCACATGACCTTCCCTGCACCCTAAAAGTTGTTGCAGTTCTTGGCCTGCCAGGATAAGCTCTCCTAATGCTTTGTGCTCTCTGGGTCAGGGTTCTTAATAGTGTGCAACTGAATGCTGTTAGACTGATTCCACTCTTGTGAACAAACACAGAGCAACCAGTGCTAAGGGATCTTTGATTCTTGGCTTTGAGAGTCACCTTCCAGTGGAAGAGTTGGCTGAGCCTGATGTCCAGAGTCTTTGTTCAGGAGACTTTGTTGCTGGGTTCAGGTCGGGTCACTGGTGACATGAGGCAGAGTGGTGCAGCCCTTCTTCCTCCTGATCTTGCTAATCCCAGAGAACCCCAGCCCTAGATGCTGCAGACAGGGCCCATGGCACATGGATATGACTATCCTGAGGGGTTCCCAGAGGTGGGGAGGAGTGAGCTTGAAGCAGAGCTGCCTTCACACCTGATATTGTAAACACATTGAGCCTGTGGTGTAGTGTGCAGTGTGTTAGACTAGGAGTCTCAGGACAGTTCCAAGCTCTGTCTTCATTACAGGCCAACCCTTTGACCTCTCTGAGCCGCCATCTCCTTGTCTGCAGGACATCATAAGGATGTCACCTGCTACTTCTCCGGCTGCTTCTCAAAAGTAGTGGCAAGGCCATGCACTCATTCATTTGCTTAACCAAACATTCCTTGAGCACCTACTATTCCTTGAGCACATCACATTTGGTGCTGGTGTGGCAGGAAGCACTGCTCAGAGGCAGGGCCATCAGTGTGGGGCATGCAGGCCCTGGCTTGGCAGGGCGGCCTCCTCAGGGAAGAAATCGGGAAGCAAGCTGTGCTATTTAGCGTTGACTTTGATCTCTGCTCCTGGCATCTGGGGAGGGTGGGTGCCACAAGACAGCTGGATGTGTTTGTGGCCACTTCCCAGCGCATGGGGAGCGGCAGTGTCCTGGCCTTCTGGGGACCTGGCCATCAGCTTTGTGAAGGGATGCGGCAGGGCGGGAGGCATTGCCATGGCGGGGATCAGGTCTCGCCGCATTCCTAATTCTGCTACAAAACATCAGTTCTGTTGACTGGCCTACTAAGTCTCCCTCCCTGAGGCCCTTGCAAATCAAATGTATGCAACTCCAGAGCCTGTCCCTTTCCACATGCCAGCCTCTTTGGCTGCTCCTGCCTGCCCTTTCTTACGTCCCCACCAGGCCTCCCTCTCCACATGGACATCTGTCCTGCCAGGCATTGGGCGGCTGGCATCGTGCTCTCCTACTCTCCCATGGACCTGAAGCCCTTGCCTTCCTATTTTGCCGACCTAACCCTTACACGGTCCTGATTTGCCAGCGTTAGCCTCCCCTGGTCCTTGGAACATGATCTTCTCCAACAGCTTCATGGCCACAGCCTTTGTTTTCCTTCTTATCCTGACTCTCTCTCTGGCTACAAGCCTCAGAGAATCTCTGGCCTAGACTCTAGGGGTCTCTACTCAACACACCCCTGCACATGTGCTTCTGAGGGGCTCTGTCTGCACACTCCAATGGGACTCAGAGGCTGAGTCTTGGCCTAAGCTGTTCCCTGCCCTATCACTGCCGTATTTCCCTTCTTCTATGCGGGGGCACTTGTCTGCCTTCCTGGTTCAGCCCTGCCCTGTTCTTCCAATGCCATTGTGATGTGGCATCGATTTACCCCTCCCCTCCTCAGCACCCTTCCACCGTGGAACAGGGCCTGTGTCCCTAGGGGTGCCTGTGCCTCGGGCCTGCCTTCTCTCTTAGACTGTGCTCTGTGGGAGTGGAGGCCACACCTGCTCTGTGAGCTAAACCCCAAGCTCCACTCACGGGGATGTCAGAACGAACAATTCCTCTCTGCCACAGATGCCACTCTGGGGGAAGACCGAGTCCCCCTGCCACTGGAAAACTGGGCTGGGGGCAGATTCACGGATGGGGCCGGCTACCAGCTTCCGGTGGAGTCAGATCGCAGGAGGAGAGGCAGATAAGGCTGGAGTGGGATCTGCGGGTAACAGGCCTCTTACAGAGCATAAGGTGGAACATGGAACACATTTCTGGCAACGCCTCCCCTGTGTTGGCTCGAGAAGTCCCGTCTGCAAGTGGGGAGCAGGTCAGAGAGGCCTATGTTGACATTTCTCAGCCTGAAGACCAAGCATGTATATCTTTCAACTTTGAAGTCCCTGGAATACAGATATTCTCAGATAACACTCAGAATACCTAAGACCCATGCTGATAAGGGCCACAAATGGCCTGACTCAGTGTGAGTGGTCCTTATCAGCATGGTTCTTAGGTATCCTAAGTGCTCTCTCACTGTATTTGTGGAGTGACCTACAGTCAGGAGCTATCTCTGAAGTCTGGGCTTCCAGCCACAGGACACCTGGCTCCCTCTATGAAGGCTGTGGATCGGGCTCTGGCTGGAGCAGTGGCCAGCCTGTGGGCCAGGATGAGGTGCCTTGTGGTGCTCCTTGCAGTCTTTGCTCTCTCCAAGGTCAATGCCATCACCAGGTGAACATCAGAGCCCAGGGGAGGGCAAGGGCATCTCGTCGTCCTCTCTGGGAGGTCTGTCCTTGGTCTTCCAGCCATTGGTCCCCCAGGGAGTCTTGGGAGAAGTGCTGCAAGTTCAACAGCTCCCTGTCAGTCTTGCCTTTGCATGCTGGGACCTTTGCTTCTGTTCACTCCAGCACTTCACAGTGTGGTGAAAAGAACAGGGAGCCAGATGGGCAACTGGGGGAATAGGGCCTGGCTCTGGAGTGAAACTGCCTGGGGTTTGATCCCCAGCTGCATCACTAACTTAACTCTCTATGCCTCAGTCTCCTCCTCTGTTCATAAAATTTGAATAATGGCAGTGTCCATCTCATAGGGATGTTGTGAGGAGAGTTAATATTTAAAAAAGGCTTCAAACAGTGCACACTGTAAGAGCTATATATGCATTTCTTAAACAAAATAAAGTTTCTATTATACTAAGTCTTTGTGGGTGAAGATCCCAGGTTCTCCTCCCAAAATAATGACTGACATTGATTGAGCCGTTTGCTCCTAGGTGCCAAGCACTCCACTAAGCCACAAATCCTCATGGATTAAGTAGATATTATCATTTGCATTTTACAGAGGAGACACTGTTGTTTAGGAAGGGTTTCTAAGGAGGGTCCCTGAGCTGTCTGAGGCTGCATGACTAGTAATGGAGGAGCTAGGACTCGGCCTCTGGTGGACTTGCACTCTCGCCATGACATCACACAGTAATCTGCAGGTGCTCAGGTTTGAGTCTGGTCAAATCCTGAGCACAGAGAAGCTCCGATCCCGCCCTGAGAAACCTGGATCCCTGAAAAGGGGTCAGGGTGCCTTCAACTGGCCAGGAATCTTTGTGGCAGTCCTGAAAATAAAGTTCCTCCAGGTCCCAGGGGCACTATCTGCCCCAGCACTTGGGATGTGAACAGCTGCCATTGTGTGGCTCTCAAAGCACATCTCAGCAGTCTCACAGAGGAGGACCACACGATTCTTAGAGGTACACGGGACTGTGGGAATCACCAAGTTCTACTTCTATCTACAGGAGAGGAAACTAAGGACCAGAGAGGTTAAGCCACAGGGCTAGTCAAAGGCAGGGCCAGGAGAACGGCTAGAAAGGAAGGGGTTAACCTAAGGGAGCTGAAGCTCAGAGGGCTTTGGGGAGCCACCCAAGTTGACACAGATAGGGCAGCGCCAGGTCTAGAACCAGCTTCTGCATTTCCTCTCTTGATCTCTCCACTGTTGATCTGCCTCCATCATCTAAAACTCAAGCTCCCTCAGGAGGCCCCTGTGAGACCAGGCTCTGTGCTGAGAAACACTTTGAGAATTTTCCACTCATCTTAGGGTAAAAGCTATCCAGAGAGTGGAGAAAGGGGCTTGGCAGAGGGCAGGATTATTGTCTTAGCATTTGCCAGCATGTGGGAGACGTCGTTTTTTACTGCAGACAGTGCGCTCCCGGTGGGCAGAGGTGGTGCCCTTTCCAATACTGTGTCCCCCATGCCCTGTGTAGTGTCTGGCACAGCAAGAATTTGGTGACTGAATGAGTGATAATGTGCTTAGTGCGTTTCAAACCATGGGTTTCAAAACTCATTAGTGGGTTGCAAAATACCTCTAATGGGTCTCCACCAGCATTAGAAAAAGAGAAAAGCTGTAGAAAATATGAGAGTGCACTGCAGTTAGTAAGGATAGGCAGTGATTTTTGAACTGATGTAAAATACATTTCTTACTTTGAGTTATGATTTTAAAAAGTCTGAAAGCCATTGGCCTGGGGTCAGTGGGCCATTGATCAGAAAGCTGGCTGGGAACAGAGTGTAGGGAGTGGTTTATGGAGCCCACTTCTGGGAGGCTGGACAGCCTGCGGGAGATGCACACCCTCCTTACGAATTCTTCCCCATCTCCTCAGGGTTCCTCTGCACAAAGGGAAGTCGCTGAGGAGGACCCTGAAGGAGCACGGGCTCCTGGAGGACTTCCTGAGGAATCACCATTATGGGGTCAGCTGGAAACACTCCAGCTCTGCGGTGGTGGCCAGCGAGTCTCTGACCAACTACCTGGATGTGAGTGGCTCTGCCAGCTTTTCCACTAACGGAGTGGAAAGCGTCCCTCTGCCTCTGCCTCGCCATAGCTGTTCCTCTTCAAGAAATCTTGGAGCCTGTGGTAGAGGCAGTCTCCCTGCTCTCAGTCACCGCCACAAGAGGCTGGCAGACCCAGCAAAGGCAGTGCTCCTGTCTGCCAGCTCTGAATGCCACCACCACGAGGGTCTGAGCTCAGGCGCCTTCCTCACACAACATCCCCCAGGGTGCATGAACTGCCCCCCCCTTCCCCCAACCACCATCCCAACCTCGCACCCTCGCACCTGCCTTCCCGGCCCGGGGAAGCCCTGTCTTAGTCTGACTCAGCAGGTGTGGAGACAGCAGGTGCTATTCTGCAGCTGCCCAGGACGCGGCCACCAGCTTGCTCTTCCTCCCACCCAGGACCCAGGCAGGAGCACCCCTGGTGCCTGTTCTTTCCTGGAGTATGTCTTTCCCTCAGCCGTCACTCTTGCCAGTAAACAACCAGCTTTTTTTCTATTCTGTGCTCTCATTTCCTTATCTAGGTCACTTTTGCTGCCCGCCCCCAGCCTCTGCTCTGACAGTGGGGAGAGCTGGCAGGGAGGCGCGTGTGGCAGGGGCCACTTGGGCCGGGACTTGGGGCCTACACCTAGCTTATGCCCCACCTCTCTGTCCAGATTTCTTTTTGCCCTGGCAGGGGTGGCCCATGTCCCACCCGGGCACGATTTTAGTTTAGGACCCAGGTCTGCCTCTGAGGCTGATTCCAGTAGTGGTTGCAGGGCTTGTGGGAGGATGAGGCCAAGTGTGGCTGGGGGTGGGAGCCCAGGTGAGGGCTGGAGGTCAAGAATCCTCTTCAGTATCTTCCCCCTCCTTCCATTTCTTCCCCCTTGAGGCACCCAGGCCTCTGGGCAGAAAGTTCAGGGCCTTCACATGATTCTCCTGCAGGTCTCTAACATTGTGGACTCCCACCAGACTGTGGGCCTGAGCACCCAGGAACCCGGCGACATCTTCACCTACTCTGAGTTTGACGGGATCCTGGGGCTGGCCTGTCCCTCTCTTGCCTCTGAGTAGTCAGTGCCCATGTTTGACAACATGATGCAGAGGCACCTGGTGGCCCAAGACCTGTTCTCAGTCTACATGAGCAGGTAGGAGCTGTGCCCAGCTAGGGCCTAAGTTTGATGTCCTTGTAAGGACTGTCAGCTGAGGACAGTGTCCACTCCTCGGGGACGCTGCAACTCAAGGGTAGTCGCCAGCATCCAAGCAAACCTTCTCCTTTCCAGGCACATCCAACCTCTTGTCCAAAGGCCCATGATACACTGATTTATGCAGCCAGAGTTCACTGGACCAAAATTTGACTTTCCTTTCTGGCATTCAAAAAACAAAGCCCAATCCCACCTCTGCACAGGGGCTTTCAAGTTCTTTTTCCCAAAGTGGCAGGGCCTCAATAACCATTTGCTGGTGTCATTGAGATGCACAGACTTTTACAGCTGACTCCAAAGGAGTCCAACCTACTCCTTTCACTAGGGAGGAAGCTGAGGCTTGGGGAGGGACCAACACCCTGAGTGGTGGTGGCCGAGCCAGGCCTGGAGCCTGGGGCTCCTGCTCCCAACCCTGCGCCTCCTACTCTACCTCCCTGCATCCTGTGACGATGCAGCTTGGCTCAGACAGAGGGGAGGATGGCAGGGAGAAGAGAAATGGACCCTCCCCAGGCAAAGCTGCTGGATGGCTGAGGCAGGGGAAGGCAGTTGGGAGCTAATTAGTGTATTCACTCATGCATTTATTCACTCAGAAGATACTTACCGGGCCCTTACTATGTGCAGGGGCTCTGCCAGAGATGGGGACACATCAGCAGATAAGACAAACTGGCAGTTAACATTCTAGCAGGAGAGGCAGACACCACACCGTTATACACGTTATCGTAATCAAACAGTTGTGATAAGGGCGCTGCAGGGGAGATTTGGGTGTGTCAGAGGCTGAATAACAAGGGAAGAAGCCCCAGCTGAGGGCAGCCAGGGCAGGCTTTGCTGAGGGAGGAGTGGACGTTATCTGGGGAGAAAGCGTGCAGCAGAGCCGGGAGCTGGGATGGGCTGGATGAGTTCTAGGAGCCCAGGGCAGTGCTCCGGAAGTGAGTGGGTACAGTGTATGTTTCCCAGCCATGTGTGAGACACGGCCCCAGGAGGAACAGAGGGGATTTGCGTTCGGGTGGCAGTTTCCATCCAAAGTGTAGATTCCGTTGAAGATCCCCTTTCCTACTGGAGGCAGAAAGCCCTGGGTGGCAGCTGACAGGGAGTAGGGGCATAGGGAGACAGCTAGGCACACCCGAGGGTGGCTGGGGCACAGCCTGGCAGTCCCAGGACCTGTGGGGTGGGTTACTTCCTCTGGGGTCGGGCTGGGGGCTGCAGTGCTCAGAAGAAAGGGTGCTGCCGCTGACATCAGAGCAAGCCAGGAGCCAGAGGAGGCTGGAGACCTCATCCGAAGCATGGGTTAGGGGTGGGGCGGAGGAGGGTGGGGTGGGGCGGAGGAAGGTGAGCTGGGTCTCAGTGGTGTTGGCCCCAGGGTGGGGCTGGGCACCACTTTTCCGAGCCTCGCTGAAACAGCATGCTGCACCTTGGTTTCAGGAATGACCAGGGGAGCCTGCTCACGCTGGGGGCCATTGACCCGTCCTACTACACAGGCTCCCTGCACTGGATACCCGTGCCTGTGCAAGAATACTGGCAGTTCACTGCGGACAGGTGGGTGAGCGGCCATCCTGTGTGGGCCTCAGCCAGAGGCTGATCCAGGTGTGGGCATGTGAGGGCCTGGGCGTCAGGCCACCACACTCTGAGGACTGCAGCACAGTAGCTCGTAAGACTACCCCTGAGAATCTGAACTAGACACTTCCAAGGTCGGTGACCTTTATCGGTGCCAGTGCCACACATTCACCTGCACTTTATGAACAAGACCAGCTGCCTTTCTGGGGCACCTACCGCCTGCTAGGCACTGTGCTGAATGATTATATGTCTCATTTATTCCTCACTGAGACCCCATGAGGTGGGTGCTACTATTAACCCCACTTTATAATGGACTGACATCGAGTTTGAACCTCAAGACCACCCCTTGAGGAAGTCAAGGAAGGGGTTATTAATGTACCCATTTTGTAGATGGGAAGCCTGAGTACACAAAGGTTGGGTAACTTGCTGGAGACACACAGCAAGTAAATGGCAGATCAAAAACTTGAAACCAGATCTCAGGCAATGAGTACAGTACTCGTTCTACCCCTTAATGTGGGTGAATTTGTTGTTTTATTGAAGTTTCTGCCCCATGAAAAGTGGGATGTCTTCAATTTAGCCACTGAATTGGAAGAAAATGGTTTTAGATCTTTTCTCTGGGCTCAGAAAGTACTGGGGCCTCCAGGAAGGGGCCCCAGGGAAGGGGCTGAGGGCTGGGGGCCTTCCCTTCCTACCTCGGATCCTGGCAGGGGAGGGTAGGAAGGACCTGGGGAGGGAGGGCTGGATGAGGCCGTCCTGCATACCCTCGGCAGTGTCACCATCGATGGTGTGGTGGTGGCCTGTGACGGTGGCTGTCAGGCCATCCTGGACACCGGCATCTTCCTGCTGGTGGGGCCGGGCAGTGACCTCCTCAACATCCAGCAGGCCATTGGAGCCACCGCGGGCCAGTACGATGAGGTGAGGCCAGGCCCCACCGCCCCACAAGGTTCCCTTGAAGTAGAGGCCCCTTCACACAAGCGAGAAGATGCAGAGGTGGTGAGGGAGCCCATTTCCCAGCTGAGGCTGGGGTTTCTCTGGAGGCCTCTGCTGGGGCCTTTGGCTTTGGCTGTATTGCTGTGGGAGCCCCCATGCCTCCTGGAGGGGTTGCCGTCTGACCTCCCGTTCCTCTGGGAGGGGTGCCCTCCCTGACACACTGGCCTGTGCTGTGCCCCTTCTTCCTCCTCCACCCTGAGCCTGTCCCTCTCCCCTCGACAGCCAAGTGCTCCCAGCGTCCCTGTGAGCTCTGGCTGGGCCTAGACGCGGAGACACAGAGGCAACCCCCCTGGGTCCCAAGCTTGGGTCTGTCCCTGGGTTCATGACCGCGGTGGCTCTTTTGAGAACCATGTCTCGGGACCAGGCCTCACCCTGAGAGCCTCCCTGTGGTCCTAGGTGTGGGCAGGGCCCCCTCCCTGCCCCATGGATCATGGGATGGCAGGAGGGGTTCTGGGCCTCTTCCAGTCAGCTTCCACTCTTGCCGCTTCTAAGAGGACCTCCCTTGGTTCTTTAGTTTGACATCGACTGCAGGCGCCTGAGCAGCATGTCCACCGTTGTCTTCGAGATCCACGGCAAGAAGTACCCCCTGCCACCCTCCGCCTACACCAGCCAGGTATGAGTCTCAGAGGGGAAGCCCGGGCTTCTTCTCCCCCTTCTTCTTCATCAGCTGCCTCCCCCACCCCCTAGTCGGGCCCTGGTGAGGCAGTGGTGGTGGTGATAAGAAGTGGTATGGACTCTACAGAGAATGGAGGGGCATGCGTTTGGACCAACCGGCCCTTCTGAGTGGCCATGTTGTCCTGGGGCCTCATTTGTGGCCACTTCAGCCTCATCCTGGGAAAAATGGGGAACAGCAGGGGCGGTGCGCCAAGGTGTCAGGGAGGGTGGGGTAGGCAGGGCCACAGCTCCCCATGGGAACCGCCTTCTGCTGCTCAAACTTCTAAGTCCTGGGGCCTAGAGCTCTGTGCAGGGTTCGCTTAGCCAGCCTGGGCTTTGTGGGGCCCGGCCCTTGGCCCCACTGACCACTGACCTCCACCCCCAGGCCTGCTCTGGCTGGTCATCAGGGCAGTAGGTGCTGAGAGCAGGAGGCAGGGGCTGGGAAGGACGAGTGATGGGGAGTGGGGTCCAGTGCAGGGAACAGGACTCAGGATGCCAGGACCCTACCCGGTGATCCTGCATTATGTCATTTTAGTTTTTGAATCTCAATTTCTTCATCTGTTGAGACATGAATCCAATACTTGTTTATCTGGGAAGGTCATTTCAAGGATAAAATGAAGTCACAGAGGAGGAGGAGTTGTGGGTAGGGTATAAACGCCTATCTTTAGGCACAGCAAATGGGATTGGGACCAGCGTCATCTCCGCCTTGCCTTCCCCAGGACCAGGGCTTCTGAACCAATGGTTTCCAGGGTGACTATAGTTCCCAGCAGTGGATCCTGGGGGATATCTTCATCCGGGAGTATTACAGCATCTTTGACAGGGCCAATAACCGTGTGGGGCTGGCCAAGGCTGTCTGATTGCATCACTGGCCACGGACCTCAATGTGACCAAACACACACACGCACATAGACGAGATGTGCAGGCAGATGGTTCCCAATAAACACCACATTTCTGCAAAGCCTGACTTCCCTTGTTGTCACCAGGGCTGAAATCCTGCGCCGTTGTGGGGGTGGATGTGACTGCCAGGTGGTGTGTGGGCACAGCAGAAACTACGTAGTGGGAAGGGTTGGTGGGTGGAGACTACCTCGAGGGCAATGACTATTTCAAGCTCAGGTCAGGGAAGACCAAGGTGTGCCTTACCTACCTGTCCTTCACTCTAGAGCTTTCTGGGTAAAGGGCACAAGAGGGGAGACCCTCGCATGATAAGACTCGTTTGTTCCTGGGGAATGAGAGGTAAGGGCATGGTGGTGTAGGGATGTATAGAGAACACTTGGCCCCTGGAGAGGAAGTCTCTAGCTGTATTAAGAGAGGGGCCTCAGTGCTGTTGGAAGAAGCCAGATGAACGAGTGAGCAGGGAGCATGGGGAAAGATCTGAGTCCTAGGCTGCCATCCACCCTGGGGGAGAGCCACAGTCCAGACTCCCATCCTCAGGCTCAGGGGCTCAGGCCCTGGCAGTGGTCAGAGCAGTGCCGTTGCCGATGGTAAGTTCATGTTAACCTGGCTTTCAGAGGTCGATGTGTCAAAGCCAAATGCCAGTGTTCAGAGTTCCTGTGAGCGCCCAGGCTCACAGAGCCCTGTACATTCTGTTGGGGGAGAGCCACGCAGGAAATCCAAGTATTACTGGGTCACACAAGGGGATTCAGGTGGCTTTAGGAAGATTTTGTCGGTGATGCTACTTTGAGGCCCCTCAGCTACCTTGGGAAGGAGGTGGGCAGCTCTTGGGTAGATCACAGCGCTTGGAGTCTGTTTGGCAGACTCCCTGGACAGTGCTCTGCTGGGAGCTGCAAGTGTCTGCTCTCCAGCCCTCCTCTCTTTTTCTTTGCACTCCCCGCTTTAGATAGTCTTTTTCCCATCCGGGGGAAGACAATCGAACAGGCCTTTGTTTTCTAAATCATAGCTAGTCCTGTCCCCTCTGCTTCACCTACCCCAAATATAGTGATCGGGCTTTGTCACACCTTTACAGTAGTTCAACCCTCAGAAGGCCTTGGGAAGGGGGTGGGGCTGTCTTGCTATCTAGCCCCCGGCCCTACCTCAGGCTGACCACAGGTCTGCTCTGCAAACAGCTGGAGCAGGTGAGTAACACCCGTGTCTCCAGGAGCCGGAAGTTGCAAGTTTGGCAGTGACACTTCGCAAAGGAGACTGCCCTTCATGAGCAGTGAGGTGGGGGGCGGGAGCAGAGTGGGCTCTGACTTCTTTCTCCCTGTGGCAGCTGTTAACAGGATCTGGTTGACAAGCCATCTGGGGGCATCTCCTGGGGCCTTTCTTAGTGGTACCCAAGGATGAAAGAAATGAGGGGCCCAGGGCAGTGGAGATGCTGCCTGTGGTGCCTGTCTGGGTTTGCGGCTGTGCAGCCAGCTTGGCCACAGAGGCAACCTGTGGCCTCCTGCAGGGAAGAGGCTGGGCTGTGGGGGTGAAATGGAGCAGGAAGGCTCAGGCTGCCATCCCTGGGTCAGCCGAGGAGCTGGGCATGGGATGGCGCAGAGGCCACAGGAGAGCATCCCAGGACTTCAAGGACAGAGGGTGGTGCCAGTAATGGGCAGGCCTTGGCGTTTGAATCTCACTGGGCCAGCGAGGTGAGCGAGCTGCCAAGGAGTCAGTCTGGCTTTGGGAAGCTTCTCGAAGCCTCGCTGTTCTTATCTAGGACCAATACTGCCTGTTTGCTAAGAACGAGACAGAATTGGGCCACTTTCATTATTTTTATACTTCTTGTATATTAAAAAAAATGCCAAATAGGCTTACAAAAATGGTTATAGATTTCAATGGTTTACATTTAGCAACTGTATTTTAAACACCCACATCCCAACTGGAGATAATGTGGAAAGTCTAAATATGATGACTTTCACAAATGTGAGGTTTGGACCAAATGGTTCGGTCTTACCCCCTGCCCAGTTGGCCATGGTGGCGACCCCTGGGAGGGCAGTGAGGGCACAGCCAGGCTGGCATGGGGGGCAGCTCCCCACTGGGGCTAACTCGGTGTTGCAGCACAGCACCCCTGTGGCCTCAGCAATGTTCCTGGCTGCAGAGCACTCTCTGCCTGGAATGTTCTCTACTCTCCACCTCCTCTGACTTTCAATCAACCTTCAAACCTCAACTCAGTCCACATCTCTTCAGGATGCTCCTGACCAGCCTGGGGGCTTAGTATCATACCACTTATTTCCCTGTTGGTCTTCCTCATGGCCTGTGGGCTCGCTGAGGACAGACATTGTGTACTTCTCATTTTTTTTCTTTCTCTTTCTTTCTTTCTTTTTTTTTTTTTTTGAGACAGCGTCTGGCTCTGTTGCCCAGGCTGGAGTGCAGTGATGCAATCTCTACTCACTGCAACCTCTACCTCCTGGGTTCAAGTAATTATCCTGCCTCAGCCTCCTGAGTAGCTGTTATTAACAAGCGTGTGCCACCACATCCAGCTAAGTTTTGTATTTTTAGTAGAGATGGGGTTTCACCGTGTTATGCAGGCTGGTCTTGAACTCCTGACCACAAGTGATCCGCTCACCTCAGCCTCCCAGGCATGAGCCACCATGCCTGGCCTCACCTCTCATTTTGATATCTTAGGTGCCCAATTCATGGAGTGTCCCATCAAGTGTTGTAGGGTGAATGAAGGAATGAGTCACTCGGTGAGGTCCTCTAGAGTCACACTGCTTTCTCCGTCTCCTCTTTCCTCTTGGACCTTATATCCCCCCTTCCCAGCACACACTCAGGTCCACTCCCCATGTCTTCTCCCTCCCCTGGCTGACCTAGAACACTCCCCATTCCCTTGCTGTCCACCTGGAACTCCTCTGTGCATATTGGAAGGACAAACTGCCACCAGGGCTTTAAGGTTCTGGGAAGGGGGCCACACTGGGCTCTGTGGTCAGGCCTTCTGGGGGCTGTGCCAGGTGGTGAATGAGGAGGTTTTGGGAAGTGGCCACCAGCACATCCGTGGTTTGCTTGTGAAGAGGGCCTACCTGGAGGCCAGGGAGGAGCTGCAAGGCTAGAGGGGTCCCTTTGCAGGGCGGGGCTGACTTGTTCCTGGATCTCCCGCCAGCCCTATCTGCCGGTAGGGCCCAGGCAGGGAGAGGGCAGCTGAGGAAGCCTTGGTGGCCATTTACATCCACCCAGCAGGTGTTGCCTGCCGTCTCTCCTTCTGCCACAGCCACATCTAACACCTGCAGGGCTCGCCTCTGGGAGTTTGTGCCCCCTGTTCCCTTTGCCTGCTATGCCTTTCCACCTTCTCTAATCTGTGAAGTGCTCCTTCTCCTTCAAGGCCAGCCTAAATGTCACCTCCTCTAGGGTACCCCCCCCCCTGCTTTCTCACTGCGTTTATTGTGTCATAGTTGTTCACAGACACATTTGTCCCTCTGACTGAATTGCTGACGAACAGTGCCTGCGTCCTTCCTCCCTGAATCCTCAGCGCCCAGCAGAGTTCCTAGAACGCTGCGGAGGCTCAGTCAGTGCCCGAGGGTGGCTTATGCTTTGCGATGCAGCACAAGTAATGAGTGCTGACAGATGCAGACTCACAAAGACCAGGTGTGGACGTGTGCACAAGCACACACACATGTACACACAAGTACACACATGCACACCCATGCCCTGCCCCTGAGTAGACACAGACCCAGGCCCCAGTTCTAGAGCCCTATTCCCAGCCCCTCTCCTCCCCTGTCACTCAATGCCTTGCCAGTTCTTATGCTAATGAGAGGAAGCGTTTGGGCAGAGAGAAGCTTGGAAAGGAAGTCTTTGAAATGGAAATGTTATGACAAAATGATGGATTGTTTTCCGAGCTGTGCAGTTTGTTTCTTTCTTGCAGCAGAAGGGAGAGTATAACAGAGACAGGAGTGGCAGAGGCTGCCCATGTCAGCAAGCCCCAGATGGCAAGGAGTGTGGGTGAAACACCCCGGGAACATAGGGTGAGGGGAAACTGCAGAGCAGGCAGAGGGACACCACCCAACTACTGTCCAGTAGCCCCGGTCATGGTTGGGGCCCAACTGGCCAGAGCATACAACAGCTGTCTGGAGGAGGTGGGGTCTGTGAAGACCAGGAGGGACATTGGACCCGTCCTTCTGCCAAGGCCGGCGTACTCAACACCCTGCAGGGCTCACCTCTGAGCCTCTGTGCGTGCTGTTCCTTTGCCTGATATGACTTTTTCTACCTTCTCTAACCTGCAAACTGTTTTCATCCTTCAAGACCAGCTGATGTGTTACCTGCTCTGAGAAGACTCCTACTGTACTTGAGACCTGCTTCACCCAAACTCCCTAAAGCATAGGAGTACTCATTGGCTGATCCCTAGTTCCTCGATTTACTTGGGGCTAATTAGAATTGCTGCCTATCTTACTCATTAAAAATACGCATTGCATACTTGCTGTGTGCAAAATGCTGTTCAAGGCACTGCATACATTGGTGAACACAAACAGACCCTCCATCGTCATGGGACTTATGTCCTGGGGGGACACAAACAATGAGATCACAGATGCTTAAGTTACCTGGCTTCTGGGTGGTTATAAGCACATGGGAAAAGTGGAGTGCTGAGGGAACACATTTTGCTTTGAAATGAGGTAGGAAGGGTAGGCTCAGTGAGAAGGTGACATTTGAGCAAAGACATGAAAGATGGGTCAGCCATGCAGATATGGGGGCAGGGATGGTGTATAAAGTCTAAACATATTAGCGTTTAATAAAGAGAAGCTACAGGTGGATACATATGGATACATTATTTTTTGCTTATGCCAGTTATCTTTCTAATGAAAAATAAGTTGCATCTAAATCGTTTTGTATCCTTTATAGCACTTAGTGTTTGACACGGAGTAACTGTTCAGTAGCGTATGTTGAATGAATAAACGAACTCCAGATTGTTTCCCTCTAAACCGCTTAGCCGTGGTGAGAGCTGCCC